TGTATATCTGCCTTTCCAATAAAAATAAATAAATCTTAAAAAAAAAAGATAGTCACCAACCTGTTGGTTATAGCAGCTCAATCTGACTAAATGACTAACAAAAAGAATTTTGTACCTCTGGACTTCACATTTCTCACTGCAGACTGCAAAGGCTATGACTACTTTACTTTCTAAGCTAAGATTCGAAGCTTAGAATAGGTACAACCCACATCATTCCAGTTAAAAAAGATTAGACTCTATATAAAAATTTTTGAGTATTTTCAATATGACCATTTCCTTAGGTCCTTTGTAGATTTTCTCCTGGACTTTGTATTTCTAAATTTTAATGTCAGAGACAGAAGCATTTTTTTCCTTTACAAATCATTTATTCTGATAGGCAGTATTCGTTCCCACTGTGAAGAAGCTAATTAATTCTACTTTCTTTCCTTCAACTGCCATGGGGGAGGAAAGAATGTGACCACCTCTAGAACATGAATCCTTTTATACACTATACTCTACATAAATGTAAATGCTATAAAATGTAGAAGAGCCTCATTATGTTAATTCCGATTACTTAAATATATCTATAATTTTTTTCAAAGTGAACCTAGAAGTTTTATTTTTACTACATGTTTTACATCTCAATGCAAAACCATCATCCTACTTTATTATAATTTTTGTGTGCTTCTCTTAATAGCTAATCTGAGTAGAAAAACACAGCATAGATAAAGGAGATATTAACTCAAGGTAGGAAAACAAAGCATGTAATCATTACATCAAAAGGAAATTTCTGCTGTTTATAATCTACTAAATTGGCTATGAATTATTTTCCTTAAAAAGTTATGGATGCAAGATATCCAGACGAGCATAAAAGCTAACAAACTTGAGAAACTTGCCTAGCAATGCTATTGATTTCAATATCAACCCAGTATTCCAGGCAATGTAGGTTTTTAATTCATCCAAAAATACATCATAAGTACTCCTATTTGCATACTGTGATTAAAAAGAACTAATGCCATTTTTTTAAATATTTCATCTTTTCAAAGTGCTTTAACAAAATACTTTCATTATGGAAAAGAATCCTATGGAAATAGACACAGGCCAATGCATTTTCTCATTTAAAAAACAAAACAAAAACAAACAACAATAACAACCAAAAAAACCCCACTGAGGTTCAGAGATGATAACCAACGCAGATGTTAAAAAATTTGACTAGAAAACGGCAAAGTGGAATTCAAAATACACATACTGAGATTGCAGTGTCCTTCACTCTTGTAAGATTTTGGCCTTTTCTCATCATGTATGCTAACCTTTTGGATACTTCATCTATGTAACCCTTTGGATACTTCTGTTTTCGTTCATCACTACTACCCAATTACCTAAGATCCATCCCTTCTCTGAATTCCTGTTAATCCCAATGGTCATTAACTTTCGTATTCGTAAACAGTGCACATTGTTGTATTTCCTGAAAAATACATATTTCCAGAAAATATGTATTTCCTGCCTACTCAATCGTACTGCAAGCTTCCATGGGTTACTTTTATAAATTTTTTTAAAACCAATTTCATGCTGAGTTAAAGAGATATTGTATCTATTGCTTTATTCTCAAAATGACTTTAACACACGGGGCTGGGCCAAGCCAAAGCCAGTATCTTGGAACTCTGTTTCCCACAAGTCAAAGTGCCCCAAGTATTTCAGTCTTCGTGTTACTCATTGCTACCCAACATATGCATATGCTTTATAGGAAGCTGGACTCAGAAGTGGAGCCAGAATCAAACCCAAGTGTTACACTTGTGTTAAGAGGAGTCTCTGAGACAAAAATCCATACCTCCTTTACATTTCTGTATTGCTGATACAACCCTGGGTATATAGATAATCTGTTTTGGTATGTCTTCATATGCTTGTGTCTGCCTAGTATCCTTTCACCTGCCCCTAAATTCACTCTGCCACGGCAGGAAGATTCGGCTGTGCTCTAAATCAAGATCCTCTGCCCTGTGTCAAGGTGTTTCATGCAAACCACACAGGATATGATGTCTCTCTCATTAGAATAAATGCAGGGAAAGGAGGAGGAAAATGTTTGGAGCTGACACATCACAAAGATACCCATAGTGAACTCACTTTGTATCCCTGACTGCCACAGTTGCTGTTCTTTTAAAGGCAAAAGTCTTCAGCTTTTCCTGTTAACTGCTGAGTTACCTCATACCCTTCCAATAAATGTCCTTTTGTGTGTGCGTCTGTGAATGACACACAGTCACTATTTGTTGCATGCAGACAAGACCCTTAGCTATACACCCACAAAGATTAGCTCAGGAGAGCACTCAGTATATTGAAATATTTTGTTCTTTTGTAAATTATACATGCTAGCACACACTACAAACAAAATATCAAATGTCCCTTAAGTATAGCGTTGCTATGAGTCAAAACTGTATCAACTAACAAGTCAGCACAGATCAAGATAATATTGGGAACTCATCCTCACTCAGATGATTTTTATTGCACTTTGAATACTGGTTTGGTTACTCACCAAGTGATAATTCATGGCTATAAGCTAACAAAACATTTTGTGGTGAGAGTAGTACTTATAGTAATGACACCTTTAGTGTTACTTGACAGTTTGGTTAGCCCATCTGTTTTAGTCTTTTTCCCAAATATCACAGCTGAGCATTATCTGACCAATTGAATTTTTAATATTATCCTTCCTATAAGATACATCTGATAAGCTTTACTGCTAATATCATGATTCTTTTTAAATATGTGATTATTTTAACATACTCTAGCTTTTTTTGTGAAAAGCAGTGGATAAAAGCTTTAAATTCTCTGCGAAAGGTAATTATCATTAGAGAAATTTACATGAGCAAATGGTGTCATTTTTAAAGAACAATCAGTGTTATACAAGAATTTCATTTTTAAGAAAAAAAATCACTAAGAAAATCAACCACACAATCTTTTATTATATAACTGAAATTTAAGAGCAATTCTAGCTAATCACAGATCAATAGTTAATTCCATTTTCAAAAGATTACAGACCAAAGCTATTTCTATCTAATTCAGGAAATGTCTATCATTTTAGACATTTGCATCTACTCAGAGTCCTTTGTATTTCAGGAACATCATTTTAATCTTAGACATTATGGGACTATCACTCATGTATAAGATATGTGTGTCTTTCTTTATGACACATATTTTCCTAGAAATATATTCCAGAATATTAAAAACTCCTACTGAAATCTGACATGGTTTACATGGTGTTGGGGGAGGGGTATACATTTTAAAACCTTTCCTTTCTCTTTTAAAATCCCTATAACTACAAGACGGTAGTGCCCACAAGATTATTATTTTTTTTTATTTGAAGTGGGCCAAAACCTTTGTGCACAATCCTTTGAGCATACCTCTAGCGATAGATGTCAGATCAGTGTGTGTGGAAGAACTTTTATTTGACAGGTGGATGACAGGAAGAAGCCTCCCTCTAAACTGTAAGATTTAACTGTAAAAATCCTTCTGTGACATTAATGCAATCTATTGTTCCTATATATAAATAACCCACTCATACTGTTTGAATAGTATGAAACTAAGGCACTTGAAAGTGTATGTTTGTTCAGATTAGTATAGCTTAAATACCCTTTCATAAGACTTCAATGCGGTATATGTAAACATTTTAATGATACTTTCAATTTATAATTTTTCTAAAATTATCAGCGAAGAATACTTTCAAATTTACTCACCATGCAGACAGCAAATATTCTTTCTAATCAAACAGCATCACAGGAAAAGCCAACTTTGTCACAATCAGCTATAGTATATGCATTACATGAAAAGAGACCTAAATGACCAGCTAAGTCTTGTAAATCTTGTTATGGTTTACTCAAATGCATTACATGCATTATTCTATTTTTCTTATAAATGATTTTGTCTGTCACACAATGTCAAAAGACAATATATTAAAAATATTTTCTCAACAAAATCCTGCATTTTCATATGATATTCCTTATAATTCCTTCTTGCCTCGCCTTCAACCATCCAAATCTCCTATTATCTAAAAATATTATTCTTCATCTGAGTAAGAATTACTAGGATCATATCATATTTGATACAGCTTAAAATACTTGCCCACATACAAGATAATTCCAAAAAGCTCATGGGAAATGGTTATTATGAAAAAATACGCATGACTTATCTTAATTTCACTTCTGAAACTTTTCAAATAATGCATAATTATTTAATGAATGAATAGAAAGGAAATTCATACACATTCCTAGACTTGTGATTTTTGCTATACTATCTTTCAAGAAATAATCAAAGTTGTACAGTATTTTCAGATACGGGAGGGAAAAAAAGCAGTGAAAGAATGGTGAGATGTCAAAGACAGACTACTTGTTTTCATCTCTAGCTTTCTTATAAGCCTTCTTCACCTTGGAATCTGTTCAGTTTTCTCTCTATGACAGATCTTTTTTCTTAAGTAAGGTAACTTGCTCTAGCTGCAAATGGATACACACAATGACTTTTTAAGTTTTCTTTTTCTTTATCTTCCTATAAAGTTATTCTCAAAAATAATGCAATAAATGATCCAGTCAAAAAAATATCATAATGACTTGCCTTTTTTTCTTTTAAGGTAATGCACACAGTAAACCATGTAAGATTAATGCTACAAAATTATTCAACAATAAAGTACAAAGGACCCTCAAAATTTCATAGAAAATGTATATTATGAAAAAAATATGCTTGGATTTCAATATTGTTGGGCCCCAAAATAAACTTGTCATTTAATTTATTTTTTCATGTTCTTTTTGGTATTATAATAAAATAAGAAATGCACATTTGATATAAAATTTTTGGCTATTTATCTCAATGAATTTAATTCCCCAAATACATACTGAAATAAAAATAAAATAGATTGCGAAAATTTGCTTTGAGATGCAATTTGTGAACTATAAAATTAAAAGCACAAAATTTCATAGTGTATGTAATATTACTATTGGGGGTAACCCTTCTCTTTGACAAGATATTGGAACATATAATCTTACCTTACAAAGAAAGTTGATTTTAAATCCCAGTGACTGGGCATTTCTCGAGCCTGAATTCATGTAGTTTCCAACCAAAAGAACTAACTCTAAAAGTCTGTTAAAGCTTTCACTTTTCTTCAGTTCTTCACAGGCAAGAGTGACTGCTATGATGCTTGGTTTGATGTTGTTTACGTGTTCTTCAAACATGAGCTTGAAAAGAATGCTATTGAGACGAGGCCGCAACATTTTCACTGAGCTCATCTGTAAGATAAGGAGTACTCTATGAGAATATACATTTAAAACCTCTTATTTTATCTCTTTAGTGGGGATAATTTCATAGACAAACTGTAACATTTCTGCATCAAGTGAATTCTCTGTGAGTTTTAAAAACAGACTTTCACTTGTTTTAAACATTCTAAAGGAATGTTTTACTGAAGTTTTAAAATCAGCTTGCTGTTTGGTTTTTAAAATAAATGTAGCCATCTTTATAATCTTACCATTAATAAAACATCATTAGGCCTGAGCAGTTGGTATTTTGTTAATTGCATCTTCATTAGCTATCAGTAGCACCCAACTGACACAAATTTTTACATCAGGTGAATTAAGAAAATCTATAAATATGAAACTGAGTTTTTAGCTGGGCCACAGATACAAGTTGTTCATGATGATTGAAAATAAAACTGAAATGTTTTCTAAAATTACCTACCATTATGCGGTTTGAAATCAGAGAACTAACTGATAGACCATTTTTAAATATTTTTAAATCTCTGCATCGATGACAGTATCATGCATGTATTGAACAATCAAATATTTGCTGATTTGATTTTAAAAGCACTCCTTTAACTGACTGGCCATTTTCTACATCTTTGTCTAAGAAGGACAGATTGTCTACTGAACAAAATTAAGAGTTGATTATAATATTTTAATATTCCCAAAATAATGCCTTCAAGTTGTAATGTCAAATCAGGAATTATAGGGATTATTCTTTATTGAACTGCAATTACTGGGTGTTAATCCATCATCACTCATCCTGATTTCAGCAAGAAGTTTCCTATTACAAGGCTAAGGCTTCCTTTTTTTCTGGTGAAATTTTCTTCATTCCTTCATCCACTACAAAATAATTTGACACGAGGCAGGTGATAAATGAGACAGGTGATTAAAAATAATGGTAAAATGAACAAAATGTATGTATTCATTCACATCAAGTAGGAACCACCATTTCAGAAAAAGATTGCGCTGAGAAGAATATGCATACCATACAGGGGTATAAAAGCAGTCTGATGTTGGGGAGAAGGAGGTAGGCAATATCATTCGTAACCTGATGGGCAACTTGAAAATACTCCTAGGAGAAATCTTATCTCAAATTCACAGCTCCATATAACTAGTTTTAAGGGTTGACTTTGAGAGAGATTTTTCCCTGGTCCCAGGAGAAGGAGAGAATCAATTCTCTGCATTTTTCAGATTCATAATATAAGTTGCTATGGCAGAAACTGACTTCTGAATTATACAGACCTGAACTTGAATTATAGTACAGTCACTTTACAGTTGTGTGACTTACCGCAGATTAGATAATACACTAAGTCTTTATCTTATCATCAGGAAAGTGCATTCATTCAATCAGGAAAGTGCATTCATTCAATTATATATGCGAGTCGCAGCAGGACTTAAATGAGAACATGTAGTCATCCTATCTCAGTAGCTGATGCAATGTAAGCCCCTTCAAACAATAACAACTGTCATTACCTTCTTTATTCATCTTCAGAAATTCTCAGAGATAAGAACTAACCAGACAGAAAGTTTCTCTTAACCCTGACTAAGGAATGTGTTTCCAGAGTTCAGTGGAGAACAAAGCTAGAGCTAAATTTCCATTAAATATAGCATAAATATTCAATGCTCCCTTCTGCCAATGCAGAATGTACACTGATTATTAGAAGCGTCATCAGTGCAAACTTGTTCTTACAAAATCAAAGGACTATGAAGGAGGTGAGTTTATGTAGGTTCATCTTGTGCAAAATATAGTGACATAATTTTCACAAACATATGTGTGTGAATTTTTATGATCAATCTAGGGCACACTGAGAGAGACAAGAGTTGAAGCTATCAGACGATTCGTGCATATAAAGGAATGTACTGAACAGCAAAACTTAAAAATAACAGGAAGCACGGAGCAAAATTGCCAGCCACAAATACAATTATTAAACGGCTTATGTCACTGAAAAGCAGCTGAGTAAACATGAGAGATATAAGCAAATAAAACAAAAATTGTCAGAATGTGTTTGTTTTTAGTTGTGATCCCTTAGCATTTAAGTAGACTGGCATCTTTTGTTTCATAATTCATTTCTTGAAATAGTATGGGATGTTGACCAGAGTGTTGCATTACGTAGGGGATTTATTTGTGGTACGAAGTACTTGTCTATCAAATTATATCAAGTAGCTCTCATTTCTATAGCTGATTTGTACTCTATGAAAAATAAAGTATATTGATAGCTTTTGTGAAAGTAACTCTAAGTAGGCTATTTCCCCAGAGAATTGGATACAGTTTTGTTTGTGTAATTTGAAATTTATATCCTTCACTACTTATGTAGCTGGTGTATACTGATCTAGTACCAAACTACAGAGACAAAAAGGCAAAAAAAAATCACATATACAGGAGGAAGAAACAAGCACATGGCCCCCTCGGAGTCATATGGCCTCCGGGGTTATTTCTATCATCTTTCTGTTACACTATAAGAAACACAACTTTAAAGGCCACTGTATGTGAGCTTAATTCAACCTCTAATCTCTAAATCCTAATTGAACAAATAATTAGATTTTGCTTTGTTCTTGTTTATACAAATCCTCAAGATGGATAATTTATTTGAGACGTTGTTTAATGTAAGAATTTAAAGGTACAAAACATCCCTGTTAATGCTGTTTTTGCTGCTATCCAAATGCTCTGATATTTTGTGTTTACATTTTCACTCAAGAAATTGTACACTTTCTAATTTCTTCAATCAGCCATTGATCATTCAGTAGATTTTCAATTTGTATGTAATTCTTGTTTGTAAGTATTCCTCTAATCTTCTCGTTGTTTCATTCCTTTGGGGTCTTGGAGGATACATGATGTGATTTCAATCTTTTTAAATACACTGAGACTGATCTGTGGCCAAATATATTGTCTATCCTAGAAAATATTCCATGTACTAATAAGAAGAATGTGTATCCTGGAGCTGTTGGATGAGATGTTCTCTAAATATCTGTTAGGTGTATTTGCTCTATTCTATGGTTCACCTCCAATGTATCTTTGTTGATTTTCTTACTGAATGATTGAGCCACTGATGAAAGTGGGGTGTTGAGAACCCCACAATTACTATAATGGAATCTACCTCTCATTTCAGGTCTAATACGCTTGACTGTACATATCTGCATGGTTTTGTGATAGTATTTGCAAGTTTTTTATGTGACAAAATATTTAGAAAATGTCAAAAGAAAAACCCACTAATCTAGCTATATACATGGACAAAGGACCTATACAGAGAGGTCTCCAAGAAGATTACAAATGACCAACAAATATATGAGAAAACAACAGTCAGCATCACTACCCATTAGGGAAATACCAATCCAAACCACAGTGAGATCTTGTCTTACTCCATCAGAATGGTTATTATTAAAAAGCAAAATAATACAGAGAGCAAGAAATGCTGGTGAAGATACAGAGAAATCAGAACTCTTATCACTGTTGGTGCAAAGGCAATTTCGTGTAGCAGCCATGGAAAATAATATGGAAATTTTGTAAAAAAAATAGCAATAGACTTGCCCTACGGTTCAGTAATACCACTACTGGGTACATGTGCAACATGACCGCATGACCACATCAAATGAAAGTGCTGACTGCACTACCAGGTTTATAACAGCATTGCTCTCAATAGCAAAAAATACAAAATCAACAATGGTATCTGTTAGCAGATGAATGGATAATGACAATCAGGGGTCTAGCATGATGGATGGACCATAGCCTTGGGACCTGTGTGGGAGACCCAAAAGATGCTCCTGGATCAGCTTTCCCCTAAGCTAAGCCCCAGCCATTGCAGTCATCTGGGTAGTAAGCCAGCAGACATAAGATCTCTGTGTATCTCAGTCTCTCTTTAAGTATGTCTTTCCAATTAAAATTAATAAATCTGTATTTTTTGAAAAATGCCACGTATGTAGATATTCTTATGCATACACACATATATACGTAAATATATATACTTAGAAATAAATGCAATGTTATTCAGCTATATAAAAATGAAATTCTATCATTTATCTGAAAATTGTAACTGGAAGACATGTTGATTGAAGTAAGCAGAATATAGAAAGACAAACACCACATGTTATTTCATATATGTGACAATTAAAACTAAAAAAAGAGAAACAATAAAACAAATATAGAAAAATCTGTGTGTAACAGCTTTGCTAAAAATAGTGTTTTGTGAAACTTTGTTTTCAATCATTGTAAAACAGTTCAAAATGATACACTATTATAGTTTTTACTAAAATGTGACTATTTTAAAATTTGAAATTGATACACTGTCCATTAAATATATATTAAAAATTATGTTTGTAACTGTAATATAGGGGATGATAATGAAGCTACATGAAAGCAGGAGGTGTTGAAGCTAGACAGCAAGCAGAACTTCACACAAATTGATTCAACAACTGCCTGCAGATATAGACATGGGAATGTGTTGATTAAAAGGCGCAAAATTTTAATTACGAGGAGAAATAGCTCCTGGTGACCTAATGCACAGCTTGGTGAGGGGACTCAACAAATAGCGCAATGTATATTTCAAACTGATAAGAACAGATACTACACTTGATCTTAGCCAAAAGTCCGAGAAGTCATACAGTATATATTTCAAAATCACATAAGGAGTAGATTCTACGGTTCTCATCACAAGAAATATATGTGTCAATTTATACATATATTTGCCTGACTTGATGATCCCACAATATATATATGTGTCCAAATGATACTGTACCTGACAAGCATATACACTTATTTTTCAGTTATAAATAAAATGAAATGTTAAACCAACAATCATATAGAAATTAAGGCTATCATGATTCCCCCTTAGTTACATAATTTCCATATATATATATATATATACATATATATATTAGACAAATACTTCCTCAAAAGCAAGACTGCTGCTAATTCTCAATGTACTTTCTGCAACAAATTCAGGAACTGTTTTGGAAGAAGTAATCAACTGAAGTTTATATGCTATTTGTAGCAAACA